TTCGACGCAAATAATTATTGATTTGTTTTGCACGTAGACTGCAATAACATCGGTCACCAGACGTGCAAGTGCAAGCTTCCGAGTCGTAGCTGCTTTCGGAACATGATACGTATCCGTGATTATCACAATTACATAAGATTATAAAGCTTTTTTCATAATGTTGAAGTAAACTTGTGCCTGGCTTACCTCTACTTACCCACTTCTACTGTTTCTATTCATCTCGAGAAAGGCATTTTCTTGCGAAACCACTGAAACATTTGAACCACTCGTAGTTAGTCAATTTCGCTGCTGTTGTTGCGGTTGATGTAATTAGTGATGCGTGGCATGAATATCCTGCCGGGATGTAGTTGTAGGCGATTGTATAATAGTAATTGCCGGTGGTTCGGATTTACGTTGGTTGGCCGGCTCCTTGTTGCACGGTGGTTTCGACGACTTCCCACAACAAAAGCGAAACTGGCCCAACTGAAAAACCTCTTTTAAATTTTTTGTACCAAAGATTGCTGTTTTCACTTTTTTCTACAACGGAGGCAAATCAAATGATTAAAGAGCTTCAGAGAGATAGGTTTGTGTACATTGATGAGAATAACACTAACCTGTGAAACGTTCGAGCTTGTTTTTTGTTTTTGTTTTTTTTTCACTAAAGGCGCATAATATTTTTCGATCTTTGAAACAATTCATCCTTTGTCAAGGTAATTGCCAATTTCAGCAGAAACTCCTTATATGCAAGCGGAACTCGTTGAAAAGTTCACTGAAACGGAGTGGAGAAATACAAACATAATTCAAAATAAAATTGGGGGAAAAAAATCGCCGCATTGAGTCCCGTCATAAGTATTTATGAGTGCTCCTTGCAACTATGTGTACAGTAAATGCGGCCTTATGAAAATTGAAAGATATTTCTTCGATTTTCTTACATGATATAGGCCTTCAAAGAAATTTATATCCAAGGAAAAATTTACTGCTCATTTTAATGGCTTGCACATATTCAGCGATTACATTCAACACAACGCAGGCAGTAGCTCGGGCGATGCTGCTTCTATTACTTCAACTGCAGTCACTGGCAAAAGTTTTGCAAATCTCACTTATGCTGACTACCAGATAACAGCGAAAGATTTGGAAGAGAAACTTCGGAATGTTAGTCGCATTATGTTATGGCACGGCTTTAGTGTTAGGGCAGCCACCGTCAATTTAAAATTGAATATTGGCGGCAATATACGGTTTAAATTTGCCAGCTCTCGTCCCATTATCATAAAGGCGAAGCAAAAAGGTCACAGCAGATCCGTAAATATTGTCAGCGGTTCAGGTCTGGAAAGAGAAGAGCTCTTACAAAAGTTGTGTTTTAGCCATTATTGCGATATACTACGATGCAGATTACACTTTTACTGGATAACTGCGGTCCTTTTGTTTACCCGTGTGGTCAACGAAGAATTCCTGGATTGCTTATTCATTTTTGTTTCCTCCAGGCAGCGACTGCTCCGTTACAAAATCCCCTCTTATACGTTGTTTTGATTTATGTATAATCTGCATTGTTAGACGGTAAGCTACTTCCAAGCTACTTCGTACTTGTACACTAACGCTTTGTAATATATAGGGGCACGTTATATCTAACTCCGTTTACAAATGTTTGCTGTTTATATACAGTCTTTATTATCTCTGAGTCAAAAGAAGGCTTGCTAAGTTGAGTGAAATAGGTTTATACCACCCGTTGATTTGTATATATTTTGCAGCAAAGGAAGGCCTAAAAAAAATTAATTTTTCATTAAGACATTTAAACAAAAACCTTTTCTTTTGGAAATAGATGTAGAATTAACCAATTTCATAAGATTGCGGCTTAAAAGATCGGTGAAGCGTCAGAAGAGGGATAAAAGGTATTATGTTAAATCAATATATTAACAGTTTACTCTACGTTGTTTCTTCTTAGGCTTCAGTTTTTCAGTGATTTTCGTTTCGCCCGGTAAAAAGGAGACGCACAAAAAAGGAAGTGGTGAAGTAATTGGCGGAGCGAGTAGTTTTGACGTTGAGTTACGATGGGCTATGTGCAACTGATTCGTGTAGGTGAGGTGGTTGTTTGCAGTCCTTCTTCGTGCTGAAAGATCGAAAATGTAAGAATGACTCTGCCCAATGAAAGTTTTAAAAGCACAAAATAGACTGGTCAAACTAAAGCAGCTCCAGCTGCTTTTTATCTCATCTTATCATTTTATGAAATCTGATGAAATCTGATTAGCGGTTTTCCTTTCTCTTCCTTGTACTATGTGCGTCAGGACAATTGTAGCTGTGCTTGACTCAAATAGAAAGAAAAGAGCGGTTGCTTAATGTAGGGTAGCTTCGTAATTCTCTATTGAATGGCTTCAATTCTATAGAACTTTCTAAGTGATGCCAATCAAGCAAAAATCACGCTATCGTTTGCATTAATTATGAAAGTGAAGTCAAGCTTCCACTTTGGATGAATTCTACATAGTTTTTATCGAATTTTTGCGGAATTTTCTATGGAGTACGACAAAAAAGAATTACGTGAAAAGAAAGCTTGGATAAAAACTAAACAGCCTTAGTTCACAATCAATGAATTCAAACATTATTTAAAGGCTCCAAGGGTTAGGCATTGCTGCAAAATGCTCATCCGTTAACTTGATGTGTGTAGAGCTATCCCTTCTTTTGAGGTTTTAGTTCCGATTGAAAACCTGGGAATTCTGTTAAATAAACCATTCTGGCCTGGTTGATCTTTAATTAAGAAATTCATTCCTCGACATCGGCTTCGTAATATTTATTTGGTGGTTCTTCCACACTCAAAAATCTAACTGTTTCTTCAAACCAAGTAGGGGCCTAAACTCAAAAATTCGATCTACTTTCCTAAATGCAGTGGGCACGGAGTTTATTCGTTTAGCTTTCACTGAAACCTGATTAAAGCCTGAAAAATATTCGCCGGAACTTTCTCACAATTCTTTCTAAGTTTTCAGAAAAGATGGATTGGATCGCACTGGTGGTGATGTCTTAATTATCATATCTGCTGCAGTTCCGTCCTATTCCTGAATGTCCTATTTCTCTAAACGTTGCATTCATTGCCATTCAGGCGAAAATTCCTAGTATACATTTATATGTAACTTGCTCCTATATTTCCACAAATGCGGATATCTCTACTTATAAGAAACACACTGCCCTCATATGTGACGTGGCCGAAAAGTCTAAACCTACTGAAATAGTTGTAGCTTTGGAGGAATTCAATTTGCGGTGACTTTGGCGGTAATTTTGACTCTATGACCCCTTTTAACATCTGATGGACCTATTCTGGTTTTTAATGAATTATTCGATCGCTGTTCAACTTATAGTTTACCTGAGGATTGGTATTATTCAGCAATTTGCATTGCCTTTTATTACAGGCATGATCATCCATTGAACTACTCTAACATGGAAAATCCAACTTTGTCCAATATATATTAAGATTTTAACAAAATTAATATTTTACTGCGTAAGTCTCACTTGATTTGTCTGCTAGAAATATTGACACTTTACTGTCTTCGTTCTATAATGTATTAAACCATCCGGTTTGATCAACCAATTTCTTCGTTTACGTTAAAAAGTCTGAGAAGTCCTAAGAGTTCTTATTGGAAAATTTAGCACACAATGCCAAATTGACTTGCTGACAACCTAATGTAAGATAAGAGATACACGTTTTCATATTTCTTGGATATTGTCAAGAAATGATTTAAAAATTCATACGACTCTAATAATAGTAATGAAATCGAAAAGCGAAGCGCCGTTATTGTTGTACGATGTCTTCAATGGAGGTGTGAAAAACCGTAGACATTTAAATGCGTGGACGAAGTTATTGAGGTCTGCATGTCTTTCTAGCAAAGCAGAGAGAAGATTTGCATATCAATACGCTAACCAAAACAATTACATAGCGAACGATCGATTATGTTGTAAAAACCGACCGTATTAGCAACATGAGTATACGTCCTTTGTGAACCTGTTTAAGCATCAATTGATCCGATTATTTCGCCTGATTCATATTTGAATATATCTTCGGTAGAAAAGTTAACAAATGGATTTGTGTTTACACTGTTATAACCCGAGATTCCAATTTATTATTATTATCAATTTCGCCAGAGAAATAAATTCTAAGACTAAACTCTTAAAAGCACTAGCATCTAAGGCTATCGGCTTTTATTAAAAACTCTACCGCACTTGAAATTCGAACCCACGACCATTGACTTGCTAGTCGAGATTCTTGGCCTTCGGCCACTCAGGCGGATCAGATTCCATTTATTAGCTAAAATTTATATAATAAATCGAATAAAATATTTTTTACAAACAACAACAAACAAATAATATAACCACAAATGTATTGTCTTCAAACTTCTTGGCCATATTAAATCCCTGAAAACTTGTAAAACATACAAATTTTTTTTGTGACCTTAAAATCTCTGATATGGGGGAAAAATTATTTAAAAGTAACTTAATCCGCGAAATTCAGAGATCTTCCCAAGCGTTCGGAAAGAGTGCATGTGTCAAATGAAATCCGTTAAGATGCCGAAGGCGTTATCTGTTGATTTATAATTTATTTAATGCATCCAGCACACCTTATAAAAACTAAAAATGATTTCGTCTCAATCCCATTCATCTGTTTCTCATTATATCTTTAATGACTTCTTTCGAACTATTGAAAGCAACTGATGTAAACCCCTATTATTCATTCTCCCCAATTCGATCGTTTCGTTTCAAACGTCATCCGCTTTTTTAGTTTCATATTTTACTTAAAATGGAAACGAAATTTAAGCACTTCACACAATGCATTTGCAAAATATCTCTTTTATATGAATTATATTTCAGCAACCGAATGCAAGAATTATGTTCAACTAAATATGAACACGTACGATCAAATCATATTTAGACATTTGAGTTGCAAATGCATTCATTGTATTTAGTAGCCTACGCTTTTCAATTCGTATTTTCGACAAGTAATTTTCATCAATTCCATGTTGTTTCTCTGATTGCATGAACCATTTCGATTCTGCGTACGAGCCGCCTTTTTGACAATAGTAGGTTTTGACAGCCTAATTTGGCAATTAAATCATTCTGTCTTTCTTTTGCCATTTATCAAGTTTCCGGTATGTATGTAGATTTCGTGATATCAATGTAATTTCTTAAAAGTACTAGTTAATTGCGGGGACTTAACTGAAATATAAATTCAGAATGCAATGAAGATATCTAAACAAGGAAAATGTAAAATTTTAAAAGGATTTATTGCCATCTCACGGAAGATGCTTTCGGATAAAATTTAACCAACATAAAATGTTTAATAAGAGCAAGAAATGTACTGTTTACAATAACTTTTTCTTTAAATGTTTTAGTAAAATATGGCTGATACTCAAGCTACTCCTGCCGCTATCCCTACTGCAAAAGCAACCAAAGTTTCTAAGACATCCAAAGCTGCCAAACCAGCTAAAATAGAAAAGGCTACGGACGTTAAATCAACTGCCAAATACAAACGGCACGGTCGTTTATTTGCTAAGGCAGTTTTCACTGGCTATAAACGTGGTTTAAGAAATCAACATGAAACTCAAGCTATTCTGAAGGTTAGTTTGCTTCTTCGTTCGTTCATTTCTATGCTATTTAAAATTCTTCCAGGTTGAGGGTTGTCGCCGCAAGGAACATGGTATATTCTACGTCGGCAAACGTTGCGTTTATGTATATAAAGCAGAGACTAAGAAGTGTGTCCCTCAGCATCCAGAACGTAAGACTAGAATCCGTGCTGTTTGGGGTAAAGTGACACGTTTACACGGAAATAGCGGTGCTGTGCGAGCTCGTTTTAGGAGAAACTTACCAGGTCATGCTATGGGCCATCGAGTACGTATCGTAAGTGTCTGAGTATCGCAAATTGGGGAACGAAAATTTTACCCTGATGTAAATCACGGTTTGGTAGCCTCCCTGCTTAATTTTGTTACATTATGAACTTTATAATTCCATGTCTGTGGAGTGTAGATTCGAAATCTATGTTAGGATATTTTAAGCTCTCCTCCCGTAATCTTGAGTACAGTTGAAGCTTGATGTCTTGGGGTATCTTTGCTAAATATTTAATAAATTGCAAATGTGATATTTAATCTCTTAATGGGTTGGCAAAATTAGCATTTCTAGTAATGTTTTAGAATACCGTAGCTGCTATTAACACATGTTGATGTTTAACCCTAGCTCATCTTCTATTTATCTCTAGATGCTGTATCCATCCAGAATCTAAGTTGCGTTCAACAAACTTGGCTGTGTGTGATCCCATGGTGTAATATGATAAATAATAAAAATTGCGGTTTTTAATACAAAAAGCACAAATTTAAATTTTGGATTTATTTAAGTTACTGAAAAGGTGGAAAGCTTTCCTTGAGGAAAGAGTTTCAACATTTATGTAAGTGTAATGGCATATAGTTAAGATCAACGCAAGGGATTGAAGTTTAATAAAACGCAGCATCAGTGTTAAAAAGCAAATTTAGTGCCTTATTTGATTTGGTTAGATAATATATAAAATACAAATAAGTTTATTCGCTCAAAACCATTACTAAAGTCAGTTTTTATCACGCTGGAGCCAAAGACAACAGTTGAAACATTACTTTTGACGTTAGTTTGCTTGGTACATTTAGGCAATACATTCCATATTGGATATCTCTTCAAATCTTACCCATTATTCTTCACGCTTAAGAACAAGAGTTCGTCACCCTGAGGTTTAAAATAAGCGACGTGATTTTATCAAAATCATCCGGCAGTTTTGCTTTAAAAAGCTCATTAAGCTGACAAAGCGTCTTCGAAAATCAGCGGAGTTTAGGAAACGAAATAAACAATTTCAAATTAAACTAATAATTCAAATCTAAAAGTTTTTCTGTTCAGCCAATTAACCAAAAACTCGCTGAGATGTGTAAAAAAGTTCCAATGTAAACACAGAGTTTTTTGTTTGAGCAAAGTAGGGGTTACATTTGATATATAATTAGTATTATGTATTTGATTAGTATGTTGTCAATTTTGCGTGTTATATGTCCGCCACGTTTTTTTTTTTTTTAATTTTTTTTAAAATGTGCATAATACTGGTTGACTAATGATTGGCGGCGGATTTAGTTGGTAAAGACTGCTAAGATTGGCGGAACTCTTGATGATCTATAGCCTAATATTTCTCACCTCTTCTGTTATACAAAGGGCAAATGGAAGTTTTTGAACACCCGAAGTTCCTTTCCTGCTTCGTCTTTTGCGCATCGAAAGCGTATATCGATTAATGTGGGCATAAACGAGGTTGCTTTCGCAATATCAAATGAAAAAGGACCCGGAAATAGAGTCGTAATACTCTCGTAACAACAACGAATAATGTGTTGATCACATGTATATTATAATTTTCTATATACTCCTGGCTATTTGCAAAGAATTTGCTAAACATTTTTACAGTTTTACTTTACTATCAGCAACATCTTGTGCTAAGTCGAAAGAATGTGAATATGGTGTTCGCTTTGTGGTTGATGTGACGAAGGTTATAATTACTGATTTGGATACTAGTATATATTTGATTGATGTTGATTTATTAAAAAATTTCCTTCAACGCAACTGCTTTTCATTTCTGTTAACTCTTTTTGTACCCACCACTATAAGATGGGGGTATACTCATTTTGCTTTCTTTTCATAATATATGTAACACTGAAAAGGATGCCGCGAAAACGCTATAAAGCGCATATATTCTTAGTCAGCGTGAAATTCTGAGTTGATTTGGACACATCTGTCCATTTGTGTGGTGTGCTGTAGACACTTCTTGTCGCAAAAATGAAGATATCAAGTTGAAATTTGATAGCAACATTGAAAGTTTCTGCACGCAGGTTGGTATTGAAAATGGCCCAAATCTGTAAGAATAGAAGCACGCAGTGGACCATAAACCGAAAGCAACCCGGCTTTTCTTATAAAACATTTATGATTTGGAAAAGTTAGAAGATTGAAATTTTTCGTATTTACTTTACCAAAGATTCTACTCTTTATGCGTAAAAACGGAAAAAATTGGCCATGTCCACGCAAAATTATAATTGATTAAATTTTATTTATTTTATTTTTTTGAAATTTCATGCGAATTTATTATAAAGGAAACATGACGGAATGTTTAAAACCATTTTGTATACTCGTCAAATGCAAATATGCCCAAAAATGGTTTAATTTTAAAATGGATATGGTAGACACCTCGATTAATTTCTTCTTGGTAATACCAACGATATGGGTAACAACTAAAATAAATTGAAGAGTAGAATTCGAAGAACGTAGTGATGGGTATTTGAAATTTGGCCACCGCCGAACAAACTTTCTTGCTTGTTGTTAAGTGTAATCGCTTTTCTTGGCTTAGTTTTAGTATGTAGTAAAATTACTTATGAAAGCCTAGGGTTCGAAGTCGACGTTACGAAATACAAAAATGGCACGATCGCTCTTTGGCTGAGTGATACTCGATGTTAAGCATAAATATAAAGTACTCTTTATATATCGTTACATGAAGAACCTTTGTTTTCTTGAGTATTATAAGTAAAAAGCTGTACATATTGTATTTATCCATAATTCAATTATTGCACTATTTTATTATATATTCAAATGTTCTCTTATTTCGTTCTTCTATAAATTCTGTTACCCTTCTATCCCTTTACGTTGTTGTTTCATCAAGTAAGTCAAAGTTAACTATTCTTAACCATTGTTAACCATTTCAAAATTAGGCAAACTCTGTGTGTAATTAAGCTACCGAGTGCACTTATTACTGCCGAAGCTCGCGATTGTGATGGTCTAAAGAAAGTTGGAAAAATTTGGAGAGATTTTGAAATATCACTACATTTAGGACTTTGAACCTTAAATTTCTTCCCTATTCATATTCTATTCATGGGTTTTGATTTGGCAGGGGTTTTGCTGTACGCCAACTTTCGAGACTTCATCTTTTTCAATCTATATACACTTAGTTTACATCGTCTTCAAGATTACAGAGCATACATATGTGCCAACAATTTTGGATAATCTCGGCTCAAAAGTTTTTCGACCAAGCAGTTGCTAATCTGATTGCTAAAGCCAACCTGTTTTTTATGAAGTTTGGCTGATTTGAACATGTGCTTCAATCCCAAAAAAACAAATGCTATCTATTTTGCAATAGGGTACAAGGAGGTTATTAATATTTCTGTTAATGAAATATAGGTGAACAAAAAATCGCTTAAATTGCTCCAGGAGGTTATTGACGCTACCCTAATTTATGACCTATTTCCTAACTAGGCTTTCCTTAAATAAAGTTAAGCTTGTTTGCAAATCCTTAGCCCAATCAAAAATTTTATATGCCCATGCCACAACATGCAACTTTCCCGACTACATATTCAAAAATAAAGACTCTTCAGAAAGTAGTACTAAAAGGCTGCACCGGTTACTCCCCCTCGATGCCTTTACCCGTTCTAGGATTCAATTCAGGTCGGTTAAATGTTTCTGAGAGGGTTTACCTTCTAACAGCGAAGAAACTGATGAAAGTAATGATTTTCAGATATTCTCTTTTCTAGAGGATCTTCTTCAACTTCAAATCTCCACCAGTTATATAATTTGGTATAGAAAATTCAGCCCCATCTTTAGCAAAGTCCATTCTATTCCAGTCTGGAACTACACTCAACGCTAGTAAAAAATTGATCTTTATCTAGTGTATTGTTAGTACTAAAAGAAACTCTGCAATTATATCAGCGGAAAGTAAGATCTTATCTATATAATAATAATTTTACAATATATATCCAACTTTTCTTTGTTCAAGCATCCTTGGAATTACTAGGCAAATTCAGTATTGTGGGATAGCTGTGTTCAGTTTTCTACAGTCCGTTTGTTTGGCCAGGTCAGGCGGCATTAAAAACTTCGCGGTTGTTTTTAATAGCAAACCTGCCTTAACTTTAATAAAGAAAAAAAAAAGGTCGCCTTGAAATCTGTGACATGGTAAATGATTCCCTGATTTATGAATGCCATCTGATATGGAAACCGCATCACTGCTCAGTAAGCTCAATCTGATGATATGACCATAACTTAGTGTAACCGTGCATTTATCCACCTCATTTAGTTTAAAACGTTTACACGATGTTGTTCCAAGTTACTGTTGCAATGTCTTATTGTCTACGTGAATGGTGGAGTAATTGTACCTAATTTTTTTGATCAGATAACCACCACGATAATAACATGCAAGTCTTGGTTTCTACCATATGTTTAATGCTGACCAGTGCGGTCATTGGAAATGTTTCGTATCAAGAAAAACAATTATATCCGGCCGTTGCGTACATTACAAAATCGAATGCCTCCATGCCCGTAACATATATAATTTTTTGCAATTGTTTTCATGTTTGGAAAGTTATTGCGCAAGGAAGAGCTTTGTTTTTCCTTTTTTTGTTTTTCATATTAAATTTTTATTTATTACCTATTCATATTCAATATGTTCAATAGATATTTTTGGGAACATTAAATGCCGCCGTATTTGAGCACTTATTAGAAGGCTTTTGGTATGCACTGACCGAAATTTGTTTGGCATTCACCGTATTTCGTGATGATTACAATGCTCGTTTTTTTGCCTTGTTCACAGTTCTATTATTTTTTAAATCTTTACATTGGTTAGCCAAAGAGCGAGTGGATTACATGAGTATCTTTAAACTGCTTGATTAGTAGTAGCGCTTTGCATAAATGATTTCGACTTAAATTCTTATTAATTTATGTAACAAGTTTCTTTAGATTATGAGAAAATTTTCATCTTTCTGGCAGATGTTCTGTCTCTTTACGTATACAGAGCTATATATGTGTGTCAGTTTACATATAACATAATTGCAAATTATTTTCAAATCATACATACTTTTAATTTGTTTAGCAATAGGTACTATACATACTAAAAGGAAAATGCATAAATTTATTGACATCAATTCAATATCAAATTAATAAGCGCAAAGTCTCTGCTGAGATAAGTTAAATATTAGAAAACAACTTTCAATGATCTTTCAAGGAGAGTTTACCGCTTGCAAATATTGCACTTGATAGTTTTCGTTCTGCTTCATTTGCAGTATGTAGCAGACCCGCACCTGTAAATCGGTTCTTCGCAGTCTATCGATAATTATTAAAATTAAAAAATATATATTTCATTCTCTTATATATTACACTCTTAATCACCTTTTGACCAGAGCAGCATAGCTTCATGACTATAAGAGGGAGGACAATATTTCGACCAAAAGTGGTCACGCAATAATTTTTCTAATTTCTTTAAACTTCCGGGCTCAGCTTGAAATTTTTTGACGGCACCGTAATTTTACTTAATACAATTTCCAATTCCTTTTGCTTAATCTCAG